TTGGGGTCATGATAGTTGGGGGTGAGGAAGCCTCAAGGAACCTGAGGAATATTGTATATTTCATCGGTACCCTGGTTGACTCCTCCCTTTCCTGTGACCCCTCTGTGGGGGGATGTTCCATTGTCTACAGATGGGCTTTGGGTCTCTGCTCCCACCCCCTTCGTTCTCAACGATAGGTTTGTGTTTGTTATGCGTCTTCTGATGTCTATTACCCAGTCCCAGTGACGGCTCGTGATCACACTGGTTGGTGTGCTTCTTCCATGTGGTGTTGCTTCTCTGCTGGATGGCTGCTTGTTTAACTTCAAGTCTTTAAGACCCTAGGCCTCAGATGGCTATATCTTTTTGATAGCTGGGCACCATCAGCTTTCTTCACCAAATTTGTTTATGCACCCATTTTGTATTCAGTGATCATACTAAGTACGTAAGCATCACAGAATGCCAGTTTGTTAGAACAAAGTGTTCTTGTATTGAAGGAGGGCATGAGCAGAGGCCCGAAGTCCATCCACTACCTTAGTGTATTGTTATATAAATATATGTACTTAGGCCAATAACATTATAAATTAATGTATTTACATATGTACACACCTATGCTTATACCTCTATCCATAACTTTGCTTCCTAGATCATTCCTCTGTTTACTTTTACTTTACTCCTGCTCCACCATCACGCTTGCCCTACTTTATATACAGGTATTTGTATGCTGTCAACCTTAAAGTTCTGATGGAAGAAATAAAAGAAGACTTAAATGGAGAGACACACCATGATCTTGGGTTTCCAGACGCAGCATAGTAAAAATTTCAGTTATCCTCAAATTAATCTACATGTCTAACATAATTCTCATAGAGAGATATTGATAGGTATGGATAGACTGATTGTAAAATCTGTATGGAAAGGCAAAGCAGCTAGTACAGCCAAATCAATTGTGGATGAGGTTATGCAGAGGGGGGGAACATGGGAAAAATCACACCTCAATTTTAATTGTTGCTGTCATCAGAATAATACGATATTGGTGAAAGAGTAGACACACATACACCAATAGAACAGAATAGGCAATCCAGAAATAGACCCACTAAAACCTAATCCCAATTGAGTTTTGACCAGGTAGAATTCATTATGCAAAAGCTTAGGTTTTTTTCAACAGATGATATTGCACAATGACACTTATATTTAAACAAAATGAACCTTAACCTAAAGTTCAGGTCTTTGTAAATGTAAAATGAAAAACGTAGGGAAAGGAAAAAAAATGGAGAAAAACTTTGTGACTTGGGATTTAGGAATGAGTTCTTTGACATGACCCTCAAATCATGAGTCATAAAAGAAAATGGTGGATAAAATGGACTTTATAAAAATTTGAAACAAAAACACCTTATCTTCTGTGAATGATATGGCTGAGAGAACGAAAGAACAAGTTGGTACATATTTGCAAAGTAGCACTTACCTGACAATATGTAAAGAACTCTAGAACTGGATACGAAGAAAACCTAACTGGGAAATGAGCAACAGATTTAAAGACACTTCACCAATTAGGGGATATTTTTGGCAAGTAAGCACATGAAAAAAACAAATTCACCATCATTGTTCATGCACCTGGCAATGAAAACCCCACTCCTTACCTCTCAGACATTGATGACAGTGAACAAAAGTGCTGCCACCTGGAAAACTAGTTTGGTAGTTTTTCTGTAAAGCCTGGTAATTTCCATGTGACCTAGCAATCTTGCTCTGAGGTATTTACTGTAGGAAATAATAAAGTTTAATTTCCCACAGAACATGCAAATGTTCTCTTAAAGCAGTTTTATACATAATCGTCCACAATTAGAAGTGGCCTACAACAAAACAAATAAGCAAACTGTTGTACTTCTTTTCAATGAAATACCACTATCAATCAGAATGAATGAACTGTTACAACATGGTTGAACCTCAGGTGCATTTTGCGGAGAGAAGGGAGCTGGCCAGTCTCAGACGGTTACACAGCATACGGTTTCATTATATGCCAATCTCTAAAAGACAGCAATGAGCCTGGTGGCACAATCATTACACACTTGGCTGTGAACTAAATGGTCGATTGTTCAAACCCACTAGTCTATCCATGTGAAAAAGTTGGGACAGTTTGCTTTCCTCGACGTCGCAGCCCTGGGTGCACAGCAGTTCTATAGAGTGTGTCTTACTGGGTCACTGAGATGGAATCAACTCATGGCAATGGGTTTTATTTCGGTTTTCTCTGAAAGACAAGACTACAGTGATGGAGGAATCCAGTAGTTTTTAGGCCTTTGAGGTGGTGGATCAGGGATTTGACTATAAAATAGCACAAGAGGGTTTCTTAGGAGTAATGGAACTGCTCTGTATCCTGACTACTGATTATATAAATCCATAGATGTATTTAAATTTCTCGGTTTCTGTTCTTGAAATAAATCAGTGTTACTGCTCGATAGTTGTATAAATTCTGAGTTAAACTTCAAATATTGAGCGAATCTTGAGAACTCCCTATTAGTTTGACATTAGGAATCGAAAGGAGTTGATAGGCCCAAATGATGGACAAATGAAATCTTACTTCCACAGGCTTGATGGCTAACTGCTCTTACTGAAGCGAGCTTGTTTGTCTCCATCCACCGTGTGCGCCGTCCCTGCATCAATGCCTAGAACTTCCAGTTAGAAGTGGTTTCTTTTTCTCTGTTGTGCCGGTCAGGCTGCAGGCTTTTTGAGAAACTTTGTTGTAAATTCAGAGCCAACCAAAACGATGTCTGGTTTCCATTTCTGTTTAGAGTTTTGTAAGATTTTCTAGAACACTGTATATGAGAATTCAGGAAACCTAAGTGCAGTTTGTGAGGTGTAGGAGGAAACACTTAATTTTATAGGAAAAAGGAAACACTAGAGAGTGATCTGTTTCTAAAACCTTTCATTTATGTGACGCCTATTCTGCCGCCACCATTTCCTTGCCGAGGAGGACTTAGAATCCCAGTTTGCTGTCTAATAGGTGCTACAGGTGGATTAACTAAAGCCCATCTGTCACCTAGGAGCCTTGGTGGCCTAGTGGTTACACAGTGGGTACACAGGACGGGCAGCTTACCACAAGGTCTGCAGTTTGAAACCACCAGCCACCCCTTCGGAGAAAGGATGGTCTTTCTACTCCTATAAAAAGTTACAGTCCTTGGGGAGGGAGGGGAAAATGAGCAACTGATATTAGGGGCTAGAGTGGGAGGCAAATGTTCTGAGAATGTTGAGGGCAACAAATGCATATGTGCTTGACACAATGGATGTATGTATGGATTGTGGTGAGAATTGTATGAGCCCCCAATAAAATAATTTTTAAAAAAAGTTACAGTCTTGGAAAATCACAAAGGCAGTTTATACCCTGTCCTTTAAGGTCTCTATGAGTTGGCCTCAACTCAGTGGCAGTGAGTTCTTGGTTTATTCTGTCACTTAGAAAGTTCCGGATTGTGACAACCTCAGACTCTTTAGCTGTAAGGTCGCTTAAAAGGTTAACACCCGCAAAAGATATTCTGTAATTTCTGAAATACTCTTCTAACAATTTATAGGTAAAACCTAATTTACTGCCTTCCAGTTAATTCTGACTCAAAGGAGCAGAGTAGAATGACCAAGGCTGTTAATCTTGTACAGGAGCAGAAAGCCTCATCTTTCTCCCACAGAGCAGTTGATGGGATTGAACTACCAACCTTGTGCTAGCAGCCACCGGGGCTTCATCTATAAGTAAATACAGTTTTAAAAAAGAGTGTTTGCTCTGTAACTTGTAGCAAATGGAAAAGTGATTATTAGCTCACTTTCTTTAGCTTCTTTTTGCTTTACTGCAAATTCTATTATTTATGCTATGGCTTATCCTTGATCTTAAAGTGTCATTAGTTTGTTATCTCCTTGAAAGATTTCACCATGAACTGTTTCCTTCTTTTCATTGTGCTTATATTAAACATGTGTTTAGTGCTTCTTTTTAAGAGAATATTCTCATAAGTCTCAGTATAACCTAACAGGTTTCTCTTGGTTTAACTACATTAAAGTCTGATCTTATTTGAATATTTGACTGTCCAAGTACTTTGTGCTGGATAAAAATCAAGCATTCTTCTCTTCTAGAAAAGCTAAGAAACATTTTTTTTGAAGACCACCACTTGACAACCTGTCAAGCCTTGATGAAATGATACTTTTATCGTGAATTTGTTTTCTAGCTTTCCTGTTCTATCCATATGCCTTTTAATAAGTCATAAAGACTACTCCTGGGCATTTTTGCCCAAGAACTTGGTTATTAGCTGAAAGATTATAGTTCTAGGGCATTCTGTATTAAGTGTGATCAAAGTTGGACACTAAAATCACTACAGTTTGCTATGAAGATAAACAGAGTATGCTTTTTTAATTTGAAAATGACAAAGTGTGACATAATGAAAAAAGGAAAGGACACTTGACTCTGGATTTGTTTGTACCATAAACTATTGGAATGTCTTTAATGGTGACTTTTTAATTGCTTTGCACCTCACTATCTGTAGAAAAGGGGCTATATTCATGTTTTTCATGTTATTATATCATTTCTATATGTGTATATATATTTCAGTGTGATTATGAGAGGTAAAATTAATAAATCTATCAATTGATTTAATGTACAAAAATTTGTCTTTTAAGCTATTTTGTTTTCATCTGAAAAGGTTGACTGGTTTTGTTATCTCTTCAGTCTCTTGTTCGACTTACTCTTCAGGCATTTCTGACCTGTGTACAACCTGGGGAGAGATGAAGCTGTAGATAGCTTTCACGATTTTCCACCCTGTGCTTCCTCCTTCCCGGAATTCTGTTGCACCCTTCAGATACTGAGGACTAGCAGGGTGGTTGGTGGAGGGAAGTTTGGCAATGTGTTGTTGGCCAATAGAGGAATCTAGTACTTGTTTTACACTGTAACTTTATTTGGGAAAGAATCCCGAAGGAGCCTTAATGATCAGTTTCATTCTCCCTCTGAACATGACTGTGTGTAAACATTGATTTTCCCCCCCTTTTTCCTTCCCTTCCAGTTACAGCAGTTGGAGCTCGCACAGATACAGCACAGAGATGCCAACCTCACAGCTCTCGCAGCTATTGGACCAAGGAAAAAGAGACCATTTGAAGCTGGAAGTGAGGTATTTAAGTGTTATTCGCTTTTCATGTCAAGAACAAGCCAAATATGAAGCAAATACACGGAAATAGTTTAGGCTGTCTTGCACAATATTGCTTCATAAAACTCTTCTTACCAAATTTTTGTCTGGCTTTAAGAAGTACATTACTTTGAGCCTAATCATAACTTATTCCTTTATTCCACACTCCATCCTGTCCTGTTCTTCAATCATAATTGATTTCCCATCATCTCAGTTTTTTAAAAATCGCTGTGCATTTTTCTATCAAATCCAACTTATCTGTTAATACTGATTCTTTTGTCCTATTTTGTCCATGATGACAAGAGTAAGCCAGAAAGTATTGCAACAAAATTATAAGCACCTTTATTAAACAAAACTATCAATATGTGAAGCTGTTTTTCCTTCACATATCCTCCTTGTACGTTTTTCACATTTCTGATGGGAGTGTGCCTATCTCTGTAATCCCTTCTCAGAGAATTTTCTGCTCCTTGATTTTTATCCTCAGGGAGCACAAATCATGGTCCCTTTCCATGCTCTTTTGAGCTCGAGGAACAAAGAAGCCTGAGGGGGCACACTAAGGGCTGTACTATGACGGGGTAGGTTACCTAATGAAAGACCCATAGGGCAGCCCTGGATAGCCTCAAAGAATGAGCAGGTGCATTGTGATGAAAAAAGTTTCTGAGCTCAACTTTCATGGCCTTCTTCCCACGTTGCAGTTTTCAATTTTCTTAACTTCATAATAAGCCCCGGTGATTGTCCTTTGAGAAAGCCCAAACTTACTAGTCGTTCCCTGGGGAGCAAGGAGGATAAATGTTCCCCTAAAGATTTACCATCTCTAAAACCCTCAGGGGCAATTCTGCTCTTTTCCTGTGCGGTCACTGTGTGTTGTTTAATTTCAATTTGCTAGAATATAGATATAATTCCAGAGGGGAGTAAGAGTGGAAACTGTTACATTAGTAACAATTCAGTAAAAAATCAGTTTTTTTCTCTTAACGCAGAGCTTTTAATTTCAAAGATTAAGTAACATGATGGTTTTTAAAAAGGAAAGTACAATTTTAAAAATCAACCTTGGTAGCTTTAACATCCAGCGATTCCTACTTTTGTTGTTAGATTGGAGAAATTATTTTTAGGTCCTTGTCCTTTATTTATTTTTTTTTTTGTTCTAATAAAGCAAAACTACTGCTATCCTTAAAAACAACTGATAATGTTCAATTTACATACTAAATTGGCGTCATGTAGATTAACTCTTGATTTTCTCAGCATTCTCGGTATGTGAGAGTAAACAGTACTAACTGCTGTCACCTGTGACCCTGGCAAAGCATAGTAGATATCACTGACTTGTTTGGTTTTAAGAAGTGAAATGAAGAAATGATCATGTAGATGAAAGTGAATATGTGTGGACACATTCCATTCTTTTTTAAAAGAGAAAAAAATGTTTATTTAGCAACAAGGCTGTTTAGTGACTGCTCATGTTATCCCAAATCCTAAGTGATACTTTTACTAATTTCTCCTAACAATATTAATCACGTATTACACTCAAGTGAACGATAAGTCTCCTTCCTCCCCAATAATTCTTAAAATATAAAATGCTAAAAATAGTTGTATGTATATCATCACAATCAGTTCTAGTACACGCCCACCCATATTCATTAATTACTCCCCATTCCCATTAAGCTCCCCCACCTGATAAGCTATTACGTCAGTTATTGTCTCTATGCATTTTTGATTTTTCTATGCTTCATAAACTGGGAAGCATAGCAAGCAATAAAAACAAACAGGTAGGTTAAAAAAAGGAAAAGAAAAGACCACTGAAATACTAAAATAAGCCAGAGAGAAAATTTCTGTCTTGAAACAAGCGAGAAATATTTAAATGTAGAGCAAATTCACAATGTGTCAAGAAGGAGATCAACTTACCAGGTAGCATATTAATACTATCGTTCCAGCCACTGTAATCAAGTGTACAGTCATCTCTGCTTGATAGTAAGAGTGTCCGTGGCACTTGACTGTAGCTAGAGGGGATCTGCCAGAGGCCTTGATCCTGATAGGTACCCTGCAGAGGGATTTTGGGCTCCACTGCCCTCCATAGCCTTTTATGTGTTGGGGGTTCACAATTTAAACTCTGATATCTTTCCTGTTACCATATTTGAATTTTGTTATTTGTCATCTTTGGATCAATCACATTGACTGGTGTGTTTCTTTCATGTGGACTTGGTTGACACCTCACGTAGATGACTGAATACAAGCCTTTTAAACCCAAGACACTATTCCAATTGGTAGCCTGGCACCATCTGCTTTCTTCACCACATTTACTATAGTACCAGTGATCACTTCACTATAGCGCTCCAGTGGTCACTTCATGAAGGCAAGTATCAAGTAGGACCATGACTTAAGAACTAACTCTTGGATTGGGGCTAGAATGCAGTGGGAGCCCAGAATCCATCTGCTTGTCCTTGGGTTATGTACCCTCTGGTATACTTTGGTGGCCTTATTATCATTTTACGATTAAAAAAAACCCCCAAACATTATCAATCATCCCCCCTGGGGTATAAAGCGATTCCACTGGAAGCATCAGTATTTTATCCAGTGGAATAAAATATGTTGGGAAAAGGAGGCTATGCAAGTATCATCTAGCTGTTAAGTGCTATCCATGAGTTGTTACTTTGTATAGACTGAGTTCTTAAACAATTGAGCTCTGTTTACATTGACTACGGGATTGATGCTAGGGGAAATTTTCCTGTACCAGTTTTTACAAGGACAGATTCTTGTCCATCAGATTAATACTTGTCATACTAGTGCAAGGAGGACATTAATAAGATAGTACATATATGGGGACACATTTCCATTTTTGAAGTTCCCTGAATATATCTAGAATCAGATTAAAGTCTTAGCTTTTTAATTCTGATTCTTGGTCATAAAAGTAAACAATGTTTTTGAAACTCCTTAGCAATGCATTTAGAAAATTAAAAATTTTAAAAATAATTCTTGTTTTTGAGGCCAATATATATATCCCTCTTCCGTATTATTTATTATAATTCAGAGAGAAATTTCAAGTATTGGTAACAGTTTTTCAGTCTCTCCCCACCATTAAGAAATACATTTATCACCCTTAAAAATAGACATTTATTTTGGATCTTCTGATAATCACTTTGAAACACTCAATCTATAAATATTAATAAGAAAACAGGTACCAGAAGCTTTTAGTGACCTTTACTTGCTAATGGTAAGATAGGTCTGATTGTTAAGCTTCATCAAGGCCAAAGCAGGAATCCAAATAGTCCAAGCCAGGAGTCCTCAAACTACGGCCCGCAGGCCACGTGCAGCCTGCTGAAGATATTTATCCAGGCCGCCGGGTGTTTTTGCCCTGTTTTGTTTTTTACTTCAAAATAGGATATACAGTGTACATAGGAATTTGTTCATAGTTTTTTTAAAAACAGTAGTCCTGTTTAAAAAGTTTGAGGACCCCTGGTCCAAGATATAGAGATCTTTAGCATTGGCTCTTTAATTGTGGTAGCTCTGGAAATGAAATTGATGTTTAAGCTATTAAAATGTTTTTGATCTGTATAAATAGAAAAGCTCTAAGTCTGTTGACCAAGAGTATGGCTGAGACCACCATAACCAGGTCCACAAACCCCAAAGATCTTTGAATGAAGGGTTAGTCAGATCTCATAAGGAAGAATGACTATGGTATGCAGTCAGTATTTGTACTGTGAAACTCCTAGCCTCCTCCAAACAACCTATAGCCATTTACCACAGTGAGTGTGCATTGGGGAAGGGGAATGATTTTGGGAAATTGTTGAACACAGGCTTTGAATTCCAGAAGACCCAAAACACCACTGCAGTCTATCAGTCAGTAGAGTTTTAGCTAGGTCATTGTGGGACCCTGAACTCAATTTACGGATATTTCTACATTGTGAAATGTATAATAAGAGTAGACCTGCTCAACAACTGGCAAAATTCCCACATGGATTCTCTGATCCAAAAAAGAGGGAAAGTTGAGTAGAAACTACTATAACAGCCTCTTAACTTTTTAAATAGTCAACCATTTCCTGGAGGGATTGCAGAAGCCATAATCAAGGACTTGAAAGATTTAGGAATGTTGCCTACCACACACCTACTTGGCTCAGCCTGCAAAGAAGACAGATGGGTCTTGGAGTTTGTTAATGTTGTCTTAGATACCATCAAACTGGTTCCAGCCTATAGCAACCTTATACATAACAGAACGGAACACTGCCCAGTCTTGCATCATCCTCACAGTTGTTTCTTAACTTGAGCCCATTGTTACCGTCACTGGGTCAGTCCCTTTCATTAAGGTTCTTTCTCTTTTCATTGTCCCTCTGCTCTACCAAGCATGATGCCCTTTTCCAGGGACTGGTCTCTCAAGGCCACATGTCCAAATTACATGAGACAAAGTCTGACCTTGCCTCTAAGGAGAACTGGAGTACTTCTTCCAAGACAGATCTGTTTGTCCTTTTGTTAGCCCATGGTGCTTGTAATGTTCTTTACCAGCACCACATTCAAAGACATCAGTTCTTCTTTGGTCTTCCTTATTCACAGTCCACCTTCCACATGTAACGAACATAATAGATTATCACAGGGCCAGTAGAGTGGTGACTTTGATCGCTGTTGTTCCTGCTGTGGTTTTGTTGCTGGAGCAAATCATTGCAACCTTTGGCATTTCGTGTGCAGCAACATTTAGCATGTTAGGGTGTATGTGGGTTTGCCCCTACTCCCTTGCTGCGCCCCCCCCTCCCCATCTGTTAGTAAAGTCCATTAGAATCAGTTTATTTTTGGTCGAGTCAGCAATATAGCTTCTCTGAAACCTACATCATTAGCATCACCTTTTTTCTTCAGGACATTATATTGATCCATGAAATTGATGTCTTGCTGATTGGATCTGGTAAGAAGTAGCTACTCCATGGTTGCTGCTTTTGGTGAGGTATCTGTATACCAGAGAGTTTGTTATTAATAATTCTGAGAAATGTAGGCCCTGCCATCTTGTTGAACTT